TGTTGATGATATAATTAAAGCATAATTTATAGATTGAAAATGGTTATTTATATCGAAAGGGAGCTACATAAATAAAAATCTGTTTCCACAAAAATCTGGCTACACAAAGTCCGATAAGATAATGAAGAGCGTGATATTTGAAACAAACGATAACAACCTGAACACTTTAAATCCTATATGATGTTTCTGTTTGGTTGAAAATCATGTTAACTCTTTCACGTACACGCAAATATTTGATAATAGCTATAAAGTAGGGTTGCAACGGATATCCGCGTACTATCCGGTATCCGGCCACAATTTATAGTCCGAATAATAGCTTTAATATCCGGCAAAATCAGGATAGTAATAAAGCAAAAAAACGCAAAACATTTTTTTTAATGCTACAATGAATCTTCAATCAGTTAAATTAAGCAGTCAATGCTACTTATCTAACACTACATCAAAGATAAAGTGAAGTTACAAATACATATATTTTGAATTAAAACAAATAATAATAATAATAATAATAATAATATTTATTCACTCAATGTACAAAGATAACAAACAATATGAGTAAATAAATATAAAATCAAAACAGGCCCAATAGAAGGCATCGCCTGTACATGGACCAATAAATTTAAGTTGAAACTGTAGACTGCAAATGACAAAAAAGGACAAAAATTAGCTACAGTAGATTATGTATTTAGTTGATGTTCGTATTTATGAGTTTATGAATTTCAGTCCTAGATATAGAATGTAGCCACTTTTTTAAATTTCTTTTGAAACAATTTCCGAAACGTAAATCTTTTAAATCTTTAGGTATAATTTCATAAAATTTAGGCGCTAAATAGAGATATGATCGCTGCATTATAGATTTATGCGGTTGAGGAACTACTGTGCCACGAATTTTGTACCTGGTATAATGATTATGTTTAATTTTTTGGTCGGTGTTTACAAATTTATGGTAGTGAGTGATACTGTGTAAGAAATAAAGCTGTCTTATATCATACATTCGAACATCTGCGTATAATTTTTCAGTGGGATAAAGTTTCGGTTTTTTAAATATCATTTTTAGAATACTTTTTTGAAAAACATCTAAATTATAGATATGTGAGGAACATGCAGCTCCCCATGCTAATATACCATATGTGAGATGAGGCTCAATCAGTGCATGGTATAATGTTCGAAGATATTTTTCTGTCAATATATTCCCAAGGTATTTAATTTTGTAGGATACAAATCTAACTTTCTTTAAAATATAATTGACATGGATGTCCCATCGTAAGTGAGGATCCAAGACCACTCCAAGGTATTTTATGTTGGGCACTCTATTAATTTGCATTTTTTGATCATTAATATTGAAGGAGAAATTTGTGTAATTTGGCAGATGTCTAGCATAAGATCCAAATGGTAAAAAATGTGTTTTAGAGTAGTTAATGCTTAATTTTCTACTGTTAAACCACCGAATAATTTTGATAAAATCATTTTCAATTACATTTTTCAGATCAGACCAGTCAGTGTCTTCATATACTATTGCAGTATCATCTGCAAAACTAGTTATTTTGCCAACACAATTAATTTGGAAAATATCATTTAAATATATATTGAATAACAGCGGACCTAAGACAGTTCCTTGTGGGACACCACACTTAATATACATTTCTTTACTAAATGATCCTGATATCTGCACAGATTGTGGGCGATTTGACAAATAACTTTCGATCAGTGAGTACGCGTTTCCTCTGAAACCAATTCTCTCCAATGCTTCTAATAATAATTTGTGATTAACTGTGTCGAAAGCTTTCTTTAAATCAACAAAAATGCAGATTGAAGGGATTCTGTTATCAATATTTTGATGTATTTGATTTACAATTTTAGTTATTGCGTCCGATGTAGCCTTCCCTTCTGTAAATCCATATTGATTTTCACTTAAAATTTTGAATTTTGTGAGGTATCGAATCATTCTAGTAGATAAAACTTTTTCAAAAACCTTTGCTACACTGGATATTATTGATATTGGTCTATAGTTGTTAACATCTGTTTTTGTTCCTGATTTATGTATCGGTATTATATTACCTTTTTTTAAAATTGAGGGATATATGCCAGATTCAAAGCATTTGTTGATTAGGTAAGTAAGTGGTTCTGTTATGTCCTCGGCTATAATTTTCAAATGCTCGCTTTTAATACCATCGAACCCAGGACCTTTCCGATTTTTTAAGGACATAACAGTGGTGTATACTTCACATTGCTCGACTTTATCCAAAATAAATAAGTTCTTTTGGAAGCTGAGTATTTTGTACATTTGCTTGTATATTACTTGCTAAATTTTCGCCTATGTCAGTAAAGAATTGTACAAATTCATCGCATATCTGTTGAGTATTTTTTAATACTGTTCCCGATGTTGTATTTAACTCAGTGACACACTCTTTAACTTTTGTTTTCCCAGTAATCTCATCAATAGTTGTCCAAAGCCGCTTAGGATCATTTAAGTTATTATTCAATTTATTTAGGTAATGTTTTCGTTTGGTTTGCCTTACAAGCTCTATAAATTTATTTTTATATTGGTTGTAGCAGTCGGTATTCTCTGTAGTTGGCGTTAGTTTCATTACATTATATAGTCTTTCTTTTTCTATTGCCGATGTTATTAACCCTTTGGTAATCCAGGCATTTCTGCTTTTCTCTTTGTGACTAATTATTACTTTATTGGTACTAATATCTATTAGTTTTTTATTTTCTCTATGAACAGTCCCGTTGCTTTGTCTATATTATTTATAGAGTATAATTGTTCCCAGGATTCTTGTTTGACATTTGATATTAGTTTTGAATTGTCGACAAAAAATTTGTAATTTTCCTGGTTGTTACTAACGGTAGGGATGTTAGAATGTTTTTCATTTGAAGATATCAGTAAAATAGTGGAGAAGTGGTCAGTAATATAATAATAATAATATAACTGATGAAGGTTTAAGATCAAAGCAAATCACACAGTAAAAATTGAAACAGTTTTAGAAAGCTTTGGGCATTTTTTACTGGGTGGGGGCATATCTTATCCACTGCTGAAAGTCTTCATTTAAAGGCAAATACACCCACCAGCCTTTTCGGTCTGTAGGGCTATTACGTAAAAAACCTATATAATGTCAAAAAAACCGATAAAACTTCTCGACAAAGTAGGCTAGTGTGAAAATAGTTCATTCCGCTCTTGCTACAAGCGAGCTTGAAATGAACAACAACTAGTTCCAAGTTGACGTCGCATAATGTCATACAAACCCTACATAATGTCAAAAAAACCGACATAATAGATACTTAGCTCCCACTAACTGAGCTGAACAATCAGAAGTCTGGAAAATCAAGCCCATACCAACCCGACATTATAGATATTCTAATTAATTGTTTTCAACTTTGGATGGTCGATCCAAAGCATTCAACAATGGAATGTCAAATAAAATTTAGCAAAGCCTTGGCTGTAACAAATAACATGGCGCTGATTTTTTAAATTAATTTGAGGATTTGGTCAAGCAAGATCGATTATCATTGGATAAATTAGAAGAACCATCGAATCAATAGACAGTCAGTTGTGAAAATTAATTTGAATCATATCAATCAGCAAATAGATGATATATGGTTACGAGATGCTGCAGACAATTAAGCATTTAAGCACGTATTAGATCTGCTAATTCTTATAGTCTGTTCGTTCTTCAATTGACCTGTTATACGGATATCAACTCAATATCCCATATCAAACATAATTCTTCATTGTCAGTTGAAGCTAAGTATACGTATACTACGGCGAATTGGATAGATCCGCCTTTTCAAATATAGATTCAAGGTGCAAATATTTTTACTTTCTGAATTGAAATATCTCACGGATGTCATGAAACATGTTTATCTGAAAACGAGGCGCCAAACACACAAATACAATTGATTTTCTTTGACAGTAAAATAAATACATTTTTTCATTCATAACCCGAGAAATGGCCATTATTGATAGTAACGCCCTATTGAAAAGTTGTTTTTCTATACCTGTGTAAATAGCAATCACAAAAAATGGCTCCAAAAGATTATGTTCGGCAAAAGAAAAAGAGAAAAATGTTACTTTATAACAGAGAAATTAACATATCAAGTCAGTCAAACAGGCCCATACAATTAGTCCTTGGACATTCTTGCCGTGCCGCATCAGTGTGTGAAAATTTCATCAAAACTCGAGTGGTACTTTGTAAATTGTAGACGGAACCAGGCTTAGGGGACAGACATACGGACGGAAATGACTGACATGGTTTTTTCTGCTGTACATGTCATAATATCTCATTCTCGAAATTTTTGGCGATTACATAACTTACGTCCTCGCCAGTAGGCGCGGGAAGTAAAAACACCTAGGTCATATATTCAAAATGGATTTCTCTGAATGAATGGGAAGTAATTACAGCGAAGGCTTCCACACACCCACTATAAGTCCCTTCTTTCCACAAAGCATCTGTCATTGATTTATTTTGAATTTTAATTTCTGGAAAACTGAAAATCATTCCAAAATTTAATAATTTAGCCTCTCAAAAGTTTTGTACTAAAATATAGTTAATGAAAAGGACAACCCAAAACCATAAATATGCACAAGGTGTCGCGTTTGAATTTTTTGAGAAAAATCATACTTTGCGGTGATGAATGCCGTATATAAACGATACAAGGAATTTAAAGTTGTATATCTCTGGTGCTCTTATCACTCCATATCAACCAAGCGTCCGGTCTGGACTTGATTCCTGCCCTGAAGAGATGTGCAGCGGAACTTGCTCCAGTTTTTCGCGTCTCTTCCAGATATTAAGCCGGCACATTTTCAGAAAACTGGAAATTTGCTCGTACTGAGCCCCAGAACCGTCTTAACACAGGGGCTCGCGGGGCCTGGGCCCAGGGACCCGTCATGATGGAAGCACCCAAGTGCCAAATGCTTATATGTAATGTGTTGCGCCATCTAGTCATCACATAGACTACTACACATATTATTCATCAAAGTAGTCGATAACAGTGCCATCTAGTCATTATAACTCCAACTGTACTGAGCAGGTATGCATAGAATGTTCACATTTGGGACATTATCTGCTGACCTTGAGAAATTCATCGGCTGAAAGTATTCCGGCCTTGCATAGCCTCGTGAGAAGGGTCAAACTGGAGGGAACCTTCCCAAACGTGGAAATTGCAACAAGAATTGTCCTGTGTCTAATGGTCACTAACTGCAGCGGAGAGCAGTATTTTTCAAAGTTGAAGAGAACAAAAAATGACTCAAGAACGTTCATGTCACAAGAACGCATCACCAGTTTGTCGCTTATGTCTATAGAGAGTGACATTTTGCAGCAACTGGAGTTTGACGACATCATTGAAGATTTTGCACAAATGAAATCACGGAAAAAGCCTATAATATTGTTGTAAGGCTTTTTCCAGTTTTACTAACGCGCCATATCAATCAAACTTCCTGTGAAGATGCCTTAAAAAGAAAAGATATGCTTGTGTTGCCACGTAGTTATGAATCACCCTATAGAGAATGGCATGTTTTCCAATTAAGCAGTGTATGCCTATAATTTTTGGATATCTTTCATACTATCGGAGCTACTGACCGATTATACACCAGAAACTCACCCTGTTGATGTTACAATATTCGCGTGCTGACGTGGGAAACATAATCTGTTTGAATCACCCTGCACAAGCCATCCGAAAGCCCTCCGTAATTGGTTCAGCTGTCGCCCCTGTTGAATGTTGGTGTGATGTCAGATAAAACGATTTACACCCCATTGACTGCACTAATCTTCCGCTGTGAAATCAATTTGACAACATTTATTATGAATGACACTCATAAATCAGGCAACTGTAAATCATTTGAGGTCTGTTATGTGTGATTTCGACCACGCTGCATATTTGGACGGAAATGCAACCCCATCAATATTTGTCTGGGCACGTTGTAGCTAATTTTTTAGGAACATATATGAACGAATACGTATTCATCCGTAGATGTGTAAACACATGAAGGGTGTTAACGTAGTCAGACAGCAGACCCGGGGCTTGATTCTAAATTTCGACCGCTGAAATTGATTTCGATGGCCCCTTGTGACGATATACATACTTGATTAGCTATGATAATTTAGGTAATCCTCCGTATTCCTACTAAGAAAGGAAAGGGGACATGGAATGCAGCAAAGTTCACCCTATAACATTTGTGATATGAGCACTTGAGCCTGCAGAATACAAAAAACTATGTAAGAAACGTGTGTTGATTCAATTGAATTTTTAAGTTTATACTTAAGTTAAACTAATACAATCATAAGTGCTGCAAAAATACACACAAAATAAAATAACAGTTATCCCAAAAGATAAAATTAGCTCCAAACATTGGTGTGAAACCACTTATCACTATTTAATTCATCGGTATCTTGATTGATCAGTTTTTTGAACGCACATCCTTACAGGTGGGAGGTTTTGTCTAGACATTTCAAATAGAAAAATTGCCCAATGAAAAGCATACCTATTCATTAGCGGATTACTCGGAAACTATATTTAGGTTCATTGATATTATAGAGCAGTAACCCAAACTTTACAAATTTACGTATGGCTCTGAATATATTATTGTTTAGACAATCACTCCTTTCACGTCCCACTCCACTGGCGATGAAGTATTGTTATCCCAAAAAATTCGAAAATGAGATATTATGTTCTGTGGATGTTATATGGCAAGGTACATACATTACGAGAAAGCATGACACTCATTTCCGTTGGTCTGCCTGTCGGTCTCCATAACTTGGAAAATACTGTTCGGATTTTGATAAAATTTTGTCACGAAGTTACTATTATACCATGGACGAGAAAGCTTTGTAGTTTTTGAAAATCGATTCTGTGGCGGCAGAGCTACAAACAAAAACAAAACAAAAAATAAAAATCGCTCAAATCTCACTCTCTGACATTTCATATGTATTATATACTAAGTGACATATAAATCCGAACACCCAGTTTAAATGGTTTTATTTTAATAAAATTTTGTATAAGTACTTAATGAAGCATAATAAGTAAATGATAAAAATTTCAAAATGATTGCACTGCTTTAAAGCCCTTTGACCTTTAATGTGTGGATGCACCCTGATGTGCTACGCATTCTCCAACGCGCCTAGGCATGCTTCTGATCAGGTGGTCAATGTCCTCCTGTGGTATCTCATTCCAGACAACCACCAAGTCCTCTCGAAGTGCTTCTAGAGTCTGAGGAGGACGTTGCAACTTGAGCAATCTCCTACCCATCATATCCCACACGTGCTCAATTGGGGATAAGTCGGGAGATCTTGGTGGCCATGGTAACAATGTGACATCATTATGTTGAAAGAAGTCTATTGTGACTCTTGCAACATGTGGTCGGGCATTATCTTGTTGGAAAGTTGGATCTGCCAGGGTGTCAAGATAGGGTAAAAGATGGGGTTCTAGAACTTCGTGGATATAACGCTGCGCGTTCATGTTACCTCTGATGAAGATTAAAGGTGACCTGGAACCATAAGCTATAGCACCCCAAACCATAACTCCAACAGTGTGATGAACATGTCTTTCAACAAAAACTGTGGATTCCTCCTTTCACCACGTCGCCTTCTAACCCTGGCACGACCATCGTGCATGCCTAAACAAAATCGAGACTGGTCACTAAAGACAATACTGTTCCATTCCTGATCCCAGAGTGACCGTTGTCTGCACCAATCAAGGCGATTACGTCGGTGTTCTCGAGTTAAAGGGAGGACCCAATGTGGCCGGTATGAAAACAAGCCAAAACTTCTCATTCGTCGGTAAACACTTCGCATGCCAATAGGTCTTCCGTGTTCTGCAAACCATTCATTTGCAATGGACATGGTAGTGGAGAAACGGTCCCTTAATGCCAATAATCTTAGGCGGCGATCTTCACGGTCTGTTGTTCTATCTACGGCGGCGTCCAGTGCCCCTTGCTCTTTGCGTACGGCCTTCTCGAAGCCATGCCTGACAACACCTAACCACAGTGTCTACACTTCTTTGCACTCTAACTGCAATTGCCCGAAAAGAAGGTCCAGCTTCCCGAAGTCCCACTATACGGCCCCTATCAAACTCACTAAGTTGACGAAATCGTACAGGTCTCCGTACTCTAGGCATCGTAACCGATCGTAAAGGATGTCAAGAACCAAAATCTGCCAACGTTGTTTCTTTATTGCGGCTGAAATATTCATTTTTAGGCCGTTAGTGAATTAAAAAATAGCAGTATAAAAACCGGAATGTCCAACTGATAAGGCTGAAAATTTTATTAAAATAAAACCATTTATACTGGGTGTTCGGATTTATATGTCACTTAGTATATTATGTTCTTTAAGTTACTCAACGCAAAATACGCTCAACTGAGCATTTTCATGGCATAATCTAGATCTAGGTGATCTCTCCAGCTGAATCTTTCATCTACTATTACACCTAAAAACTTTGTTTGTTCAACCCTGTCATAAACTGAATTATTTAAACTTTAACGTGAGAGAAGTTGGCAACCTACGTTTATAATAGCACATATATATTTGGTTTTACTTTCAACTATTAGCTTATTATTAGTTATTCAAGACTGAGTGATCTGTACTGTTGAACGTGTCATCTGCAAACAACACAAGGAGAGTGTCATCAACGTTGATATACGTATTCATCCAATATTGATATTTTCATAATGTGATGTAACATTGCCTATTTTAGCACAAATTTTGCGATGTGACAAGAAGGACCGAACCCGGTCATTTATAGGATACCTGAATCCATAATCATCAAATTGTTTTTTGATAAAACAGTTGCTTACACGAAATCAAATGCCTTGCTGAGGTCAAAATATATTGTTAGTACGAATTTATTTCCATCTAGTTGACTTTATATAAAGACAAGCCTTTTAATTTTGGAAAACGATCCGTACTCGAGAACCAAAAAGGGAGAGAGCAGCAGAACACATCGCACGCCCATTCTAATGCGGTTTTTTATCTGCTCTCTTCCTTTTCGGCTCCTGAGTATAGTGGCGACAATATATTTATAAACTTCTAACCCCAGAAATGATACGCACCTATTACACATATTTCACGCATAGACTTCTCCGTGTATTCACACTCACAAGTAGAATGTTCTTCGTGCCGCGCGCAAAGAAAACAGGAGCTAAACCTGTAGAGATGTGGCTGCTGCCGCAGGGCTGACCATTCACTTATCGCAATTGTAATCTCAGCGTTGCCGCTGGTTGTCAAATGAGAAGGGATTAATTATATGGGTCTATTTGACTGGCTTGATCTATGTATTTCATTTGTTAAACATGTTCGTAGTTTTTTCTTTCTAAAAGAGGCAAACTTATGCCGAACATATTTTAAAAACTGATGACAGCGTTTCGTGGGAAAAGTAGATTCAACTTGACCTCATGTTTTATTTTTATAATGAGCTTCACACATAATAGCCTCGTCGTTATAATTTTAGAAAAACTCGTATAAACACACGAGTTCGTTTTAAATAGAAAATTAACGGTAATATGCTACAATAGGTTGAAAATGCAAAATCACCCTTAGCTGGAATCACCCTGTGCAAGTGATAAACTAGTCCAGAGGGGAGACTGATACACCATGTGGGACCTGAAAGTGACAACACATGCTGTCACCAAAGAGTCTGATAACGTTTAAATGGGAATTCCTCTGATAGCGGATTTCATTTAGCTCGTTAGGAAGTACGGGGATGCAGCTGTTGTCTAGACCTTTCAAGGGATAATTTCTATCCCTATCTCAGGAAAGTGATATTAGATGTAGGGCGGGTACAGATATTTTTGGTGCCAGCGCGCCGGCCTTTGTTGCAAATGCTGATAGATGAAATCATATGCCAAATAGGAGGAAAATGGGCTTCAACTGAAAGACACTGATAACATTGGTGAACGAAATGAAAATATTTTTTTGTGACATGGACAAAACAAGGTGGTTATTATGTAAAACGTACCCAAAAAGCCGAAACTCGCGGTTTTCTTGCAATAAGGCACATTATTTGCTGCTTATACTCGTAAAATATAAGAATATGTGTGTAAGAGTACTAATAAACACTCGAATATTGTTGTCGATGTTTTACGGCAATATGTTGCTCCTGAAGTATCTCTTAATAATGTATAGCAATAATCAGCAAACAAATTGACACTCCATTTACCTTGATAACATTTTTCCATAGCAGAAATGTCTCGGTGGAACCGTTCAACATGTTCATCACTTGCCCTACCTAAATTTTCCGGAAAAAAATCGAGATGAGAATCCAAAAAGTAAATTTTTAGAGACATGTTACATCCAATTCATTTATACGCATTAATTAGTTCACTCACAATATCTTTATAATTGTCCGCCTTCACATTGCCTAAAAAAATTGCAGTAACTGATATAAAATCATTCCAAGCTCGTAATTCAGT